CTTAGACGACCTGAACTTTTCGCCAACGATTCATTGCTTTTGGATCATGCAATGCACCAGCTCACACAGCACTGTCTATGAGGGAGTTTTTAGCCAATTAACAAATAACTGTATTGGAACACCTTCCCTACTTACCTGACCTGGTCCCCAATGACTTCTTTCTTTACTCAAAGATAAAGGAAATATTGAAAGGAAGACATTTTAATGATATTCAGAACATCAAGGGTAATATGATGACAGTTCTGATGGCCATTCCAGAAAAAAAGTTCCAACATTGCTTTAAAGGGTGGACTAGGCATTGACGTCAGTGCATAGCATCCCAAGGGGAGTACTTCAAAGGTGATTGTAGTGATATATTCAGCAAAGAGGTATGTAGCACATTTTCTAGGATGAGTTCACTAACTTAATTGTCTGACCTCATATATGATGCTAAAACAGTGGTCAGATATTTGTTTAACAACTTGATAACTGATACTATTTAACTAATTCTTGGATAGAGACACAGGCTATAGGCTATCCACTTCTCTAATTATGTAATTTGTGGTGCCCAAAGGCAAATTTGATATGTGGGAAAGTTAGCTCCATTACTCAGGAACAACCCTGGTAAGGATTTTAAAATGAAGTTCATGAAAAGTCAGAGCTGAGATGCTGATGTGATGGAAAATGTGTCACTGCGTGTTGGGAAACTGGGGCCTCACTCCCAGCTCTGCCTCCAATGTCAGGACCTCCTCAGCAAGTCCCTTCCCCCTTTAGATTTTCACTTCCTCATCTCTGGAAACCAGCCAGCTAGGTGTTAGTCATCTAGAATGTGCTGTTTATTACATAAACACCAGCCACATGTGACTTCTTAAATTTAAATTAATTAAAACTAAACAAAGTTAAAAATTCAGCTCCTCAGTTGCACTAGCCCTGTTTCAAGGGCTCAGTCGTTACATATGTTTAGTGCTAACCATATTAGTCAGCACAGATATAGAACAATTCCATCATCACAGAATGTGCCATCAGATAGTGCTGAATTCTAGAGCTTGCTACCCAATGTCTGGTCCTCAGATGAGCAACATCAGCGCCACCTGGGAACTTGGTAGGAATGCAGAATCTCAGGTGCCATGCTGGACCTTCAGAATAAAAATCGGCATTTTAACAAGATTACCCCAGCGACTACATACTCAAGTTTAAGAAACTCTGATCTATTAAATTTCTTCCACCTCTAAAAATAAAATTTAGGAATCTGGGTATCTCCTTGACAAAGTCTTTGAGAAAGAAATAAACCACCAGATTGTCCAAATCCTGATTCACTGATTTGCCTAAAAGAAAAACATTGGAGCTATCTGAAGAAAGACCAGCAGAGTGATGGCACCTCCGCAGGAGCAAGAGGAAACAAATACGCGGACGTCTGAAGGCAACATGTAAACATCAGCGCTGGGACGGTGGTGCAAGCCAGCTCCTGTCCCTAAGCCTCCCATCAGTGTGGGGCATTTGAGCCTTGCCTAAATGTCTTCAGAGAAGGGAAGTTCACAATCTTCTGTGGCAACAAAGAAACAAGAAGAAATGGATTGCATATACTGGGGACCTTATCTCCCGGATGTATTAAGGTGTTTGCTAAAGCTCCCCTCGTTAAAACTTACTAAGAAGAAGCTCAGGCAAAGGCTTTTATTCAAGTAGAAACAATAAAGAGCAGATTGGAGAAGAAATCAAGACCACACTCAGCAGTGACAGGAGGGGCGGCCAGGGACACCAGCCCCTGGGCTCATGGTCCAAAGCTCTCCTCTGTGGCTTGAGCTATTAAATAGGAGAGAACACGTTTAGTCCTCACACTGAAGAAAGTTTTGGTGTCTTTCAGTGACATGCTGTTTTCAGCACAAAAACAGAGGGCATTAATATTAGATTTGTTGCTTGTTAAGAAAACATGTACCTCTTACAGGACAAAATTGCAGTCATGTATCTTATTTAATTGATATTAGATTTTATAGCTGAATGTTAAAATTTTAATGCGTCCATAAATCTGTTTCTTATTTTCAGAGAAATATCTGTATTAAGAACACACTGTACAAGAGAAGGGAAAACTGAATCCAAAATATACATTTGTTCATTTTTGAGGAAGCAAGCAAAATGGTGCCTTGTACAGGACTTCAGAAAAAAATGAAACAGCTGGGAATTCTGATTTGCTTTAGAGAAGAATCTGCTGATTTGAGACATATCCTTAAAGGGTCAACTATTTTGATGCAGGGGGAAAAGATGAGCAGATAGAAATGGGTTTATTATATACAGGTCAGTTCTTGAATAGTCACTGGCAGGAAATGTGATAGGTTTCCAGGAGCGAGCTGGACATCCTGTCACATAACCCAGAGTTGTGGAATCTGGGCACCATGCAGGTGACAGGGAGCTGGCCAGGAGTCAGAGGGATCTGGTCTAAACCCCACTGTGCAACCGAGTCTCTGTGTGATTGCTGACACATTTCACTGAGCCCTGCGCCTCAGTGTCCACTGTGTGAAATGGAAAAAGCATCTGTCTTCAGAGGTTGCAGAGAGATGCTTTTGTGTAAAGTGCTTAGGACAGAATAGGCAATGGACACTTATTAGTGTATCAATGAGTCAAATAATGGTTTAGGGTCAAATCCAAAGCCATGACGAAGAAAGTGAATAGGGGCACAACCGGGAGGAGAGGCAGCCCCTCCTGACCTGCTCTGGGCTGGGGGTCCTGTCCCCTGCTCACTGCTCACTGCTGGCTGCTGAGTCCTGCTGCTGCAGTGAGGCAGGTCTCACTTGGATTGGCAGTGCTGGGGGTGGCTCGGGAACACAGGGGCTCATCACCGACTTCCAGAGGTCAGAGAGACGTGGGAGTGGGTGGGGTCGGCGCACGGGAACACGCCAACCTTCCAACGGACCTCCGATTCTGAAAGGAAACAAGCTCGCAGGAAACAAGGACGGCATTCTTTTTCTGGTCCCCATTCCAATGACTGTCCCAGTTCCCTTTCCTCCTGGTAGAGCAAGAACATCCTCGCGTGGAGCATCCTGGATCTCCGATAAGGCCAGTCCCACATGGTAATGACCTCTCTTCAACACGTGATTTCTCCCTGTATCGCTTTTCTGTGCTGGGCATTCCCATTCAGATCATGTGACAGGAGCTGCGAGCCCTGTATATGATTGCTGGAGAAATTTCCACAAGTTTGTTGCTAACCTGCCTGTTTCCTCGTCTCATTTCTGTTCTTTACTAACCTCATTCAGCCTGAACCCAGACAGAGAGTCATTTCCCCTCCTCAGTTGCTCAGTTCACGCCCTCGAGCCAATGCCGGACACCCCTCTAACACTACGAGTGGAATTCGCTGGCTCAAACAGTAGTCAGCTGCTCCGTAAATCCAGCCCCATCATATTTGTTGTGAGGAGAGATTGATTGACAGTCTTTTAACATTGATCAATGTTTTCATTAATATCTCATGCATATGGCATAACGCTCATTAGCTATTTTTGTGTCAATCAAGATGCATCTCAAATTTATTTTATGTCATTCTAAATGAACCCAAGTTCATCACAGACCTTAATCTGCGTGACTGACAGAATGGCAAGCAGCCCCATTTTAATTGGTAGCACCTTCATTTTAATTATGCCAAACTTGGGGGAAAAGAAAAGATAATTAACTCAGTGACAAAATATTCTTGTTTTCCTTGTAAGAGTCTCAGGAGAGAACTGCACTGGGAGGGTAGGGGCAGGAGAGGGAAGATACAATGGTTACAGAGCAGAGATAAAATGGCCTCAATCCAACGCCACGTTTAAATGCGGTTGCCCCTTAGTATGCTTTGTGGTCTGTGAAATTGGAGTGCAAGAAAATAGATGACTATCAAAAAGTGATCTTACATAATACAGTTTATTGAAATCTTAGCTTTTCCATAAGCCTTCAGGGTTTGTTTTAAATGTTAAGACCCATAATACTGTATTGCTGCTTTTATCAAGTAGTAACAATCACTGGCTGACAAAGCAGCATAGAATCAGTGGCTTAAAATCAATAAACATTTATTATTGCTCAAGTATCTGCGAACAGTTGGTGGGCTGGCTGGGGACAGGCTGGTCTAGGATGGACTCCTTTGCATGTCTGGAAGTTGGCTGGCTACTGCTGAGTTGATACAATAAACTGGTCATGTGTCATCAGGCAACCCAGCGTGGATATAATAGACTGCATAATGCTTCCTCCCCCAACCCCCCACCCCCACCCTGAATGTCCATGTCCTAATGCCTAGAACCTGTGAAAATGTTACCTTTCATGATGAAAGGTACTCTACATATGTGCTTAAGTTAAGGATCTTGAGATGGCAGATTCTCCTGGGTTATCTGGGTGGGTCCAGTATAATTACAGAGGTCTTTATAAGAAGGAAACCAGAGGATTAGAGTTATAGAGAGAAGATATAAGGATGGAAGCAGAGGTCAGAGAGAAAAGAAGATACAGCATTGCTAGCTTTGAGATGGTGGACATATAGGCAACTTTTAGAAGCTGGACAAGGGAAGGAAGTGGACTCTCCCCTACAGCTTCTAGGAGGAATGCAGCCCTCTGGACCCATCTTAGATTTCTGACCTCCAGAACTGTAAGAGAATAAGTATGTGTTTCTATAAGCCACTAAGTGTGTGGTAATTTGCTATAGCAGCAATAAGAGACTAATATACCTGGACTTGTTAAAAAGTTCATAGTAGGGCTCCAAGAGAGAGGCAAGCGTGAATCATAGACTTAGGGTTGGCACACTGTCACTTCTGCCACATTCTATTGGCCAAGGATGTCATAAGGCCATCCCAAATTCAGGTGTTGGAGAAATAGACCCCGCCTCTTGATGGATTCTATTTCCCTTACCTCTTGATGGGAGAAGCTGTCGAGTCCCATTGCAAGGGGTTGTGGAGGTCAAAAAGGATAAAATATTATGGCCCTTTTCTGCAATCAATCTACCACCGTGCCCTTTACAAAATGACATTTCAAAAGCAATGGCTAAACCTGGTTTCTTTTTCATTTCCAGGGAAACAGGGGGCATGGGTGTCTGGACCTCAGGCACCGACATTTTCCTAAGTCTTTGGGGAACATATATATCTCCACGAAGCCCTGGATGGGTGAACTTCATCCAACATTTGGGAGTTTGCTGTTTCGTTGCTTTCATTTCAGTGGGCCTCCTCTCTGTGGCCTTCTCCTGGTTTCTGTCCTCATCCGTAGTCTTCGCTACCTCCTGGGTGATCACATGTGCTCTCCTGTGCTGCTCCAAGCACATGAGATGTTTCATTCTTCTCTTCTTCCTCTCTTGTGGCCTGCGTGAAGGCAGGAATGCTCTGATTGCAGCTGGCACAGGGGTAGTCATATTTGGACACGTGGAAAATATCTTCCACAACTTTAAAGGCCTCCTGGACAGTATGACTTGCAACCTAAGAGCCAAAAGCTTCTCCATACACTTTCCACTTTTGAAAAAGTATATCGAAGCGATTCAGTGGCTTTACGGCCTGGCCACTCACCTAAGTCTATTTGATGACCTTGTTTCTTGGAACCAGACTCTGGCAGTCTCTCTTTCCAGTCCCAGCCAAGCCCTGGAGGCACAGCTAAATGACACCAAAAGCAAAGTCCTGGGGGCCTTGTACCAGACGGCGACGGCGACAGAGCTATTGTCCTCCCTGGGACGGCAGCTGATGGCTCTTGCAGGGCTTTTGCTGGTGCTCCTCGGCACTGGCCTTTTCATGAAGCGGTTTTTGGACCCTTGTGGGTGCACGTTTGAAAATATCTACATCACAAGACAGTTTGTTCAGTTTGACGAAAGGGAGAGGCATCAACAGAGGCCCTGTGTCCTCCCGCTGAGTAAGAAGGAAAGGAAAAAGTACGTGGTCATTCCGTCTTTCTGGCTGACTCCGAAAGAAAGGAGGAACCTGGGGCTGTTTTTCCTCCCCATACTTACCCACCTCTACATCTGGATGTTGTTTGCAGCCATCGATTTTCTGCTGTATCGGCTCATTTCCTCAGTGAGCAAACATTTCCAAAGCTGGCCGGCACTGGAGCTTCGCTTGAAACTGCACAGGGAGGTAGGTGCTGACAGGCACTCCGCATGAGGCATCCTGGCTGTTTGCTGGTCTCTGTGCGAAAGGTCATGAACCTCTCAGGCAGGCCGGTGTTTTCCCCACTTTTGGACCTACAGTGCCTGATACGTAGAAGGAGTTCAACACATGTTGGTTAAATTGAAGACCCGCTGTGAGAGTCTATCCCTCTGAAAATTTTGGGTCACTGTGTTGGCCACCTGTGGCCACAGTAACAAATTACCACAGACCGAGTGGTGTAAAACAACAGAAATGTATTCTCTTGTAGTTCCAGGGGAAAGAAGGCCGAGATCAGTATCGCTGGGCTAAAATCAAGGTGGGGTTGGCGGAGCCACGCTCCCTTCCGACTCTAGGAGCAAATCCGCTCTTTGTTTCTTCCAGCTTCTGGTGACTTTGGCATTCTTTGGCTGGTGCCTGCGTTACACCATGTTTGTTCTGTCCTCACATCACCTCTCCCCGGTAGATGTAAAATCTTTCTGCCTCCCTCTTAAAGGATGTAGGAGATTGCGATAGAGCTCACCAGGGTAATTTCTCTATCTCAAGCCACATCTGCAGAGTCCTTTTTTAAAACAGATTTTATTGGGGAAGAGGAGCAGTGTTGGGGAATTCAGAAAGGGGAACAGCCAAGTTGTTGTCCTTCAGTCTTAGTTGTGGAGGGCACAGCTAGCTCAGCTCCAAGTCCAGTCACCATCTGGCCGCCCAATGGCAGCTCACAGCCACTCAGTTTAAGGTGCCGACTTCAATCTTAGTTGCAGGTGGGAGTAGCCCGCCATCACATGCGGGAGTTGAACCAGCAGTCTTGTTGTTAGGAGCACGTGCTCTCACCAGCTGAGCCATCCTGCCACCTGCTGGCAGCTCGGTGGCAGCTCAGCTTGGACGCAGCTCACTGGCCCATGTGAGAGTTGAATCGGGGACCCTGTTGCTCAGAGCTCACGCTCTTAACCAACTGAGCCTCTCGGCCGGCCTCTGCAGAGTCCCTTCTCCCCCACTGCCCAAATAAAGTAACATTTACAGGTTTTGGATACTAGGATCTTCTATCTCTGGGGGTGGGGGGACATTTTTCAGCCATCTCTAGTCAACAAACACTAAAGCGTGGGACCAGGGGTCTCAGATGTGGACCATGAAGTTCATTCTCAAGCAGGAGAACCTGGCATGAACCTAAGAGGCCAGACTTAGGGCCTGACTCCCTCTCCCCCCAGATTTGTTGTGCAAGTAGACGTTGAGCTCCTCCTCTGAACAAGGACTTCTGTTCTTGGCATCTTGAGTCTTTATCAAACACAGAAGGCTCCCAGTGCATCAGCGTAGTGTTTAATAGGACAGTCATTGAAGTAGATTTCCTCAGTAACCAGGTGGTACAGCCAGTGCTGGTGCCTGGTAGCACCCTCAAAAAAAATGGAACCAGCTAGACTTTTGTTTTTTACACAACTTATGTTTGAACCGTAAGTGTGTGTTAAGAATTTCCTCAGGTGGATGTAGATAGAGCCTTAGGCCTCAATTTGCAGAGATTCTCTTTTAAACAGGAGGGTTCTTTTCACAAGCACCTCATGTGATTTCAAAGCAGGTGGTATCTCAGGTGCTGGAAAGCAAAGACCTTCTAAACCAATGGTCCTCAACGAGGCTGCACAGTGTCATCGCTGGGGAGCTGAACAAGCAAACAAGCAAACAAACCCAAGGCTTCCTCAGGCCTCTTTGATCCACCCAGGCTGGGCAAGGCCTGGGTGAGGCATTTGTAAAAACTCCCCAACTAATTTTAATGTGTGGCCAAGATTGAGAACCACTGTTCTAAAGCCACCACCGAAAGAATGGAGCCATCGGATAGATCCAGGAAAATCTTCATTAGCCAAGAAAGTGTGTTTCCCTGAGTTTGTGCCCCCTGAGTCTTGGGGAATCTGCCTTTCTCTGCTTTATTCTTACTCCTCTCAGCAGCTGTGCCCTAATAGGTTTTTGTGTATCCCATCTTTTCTCTTGTCCATTTTTCCCTGTGGAAATTTGTGACGACGTGGACATTTCAGAAGATCTGGATATTGTCAGATACGTGTCTCATTTTTTTTAACCCAGAGGTTGTGAAGTTGAGCTAGATGGATGTATGTGTGTGCATATGTATCATGTGTGCTTGTGTGTGCATGTGCTCATGTAGTGTGTGCATGTGTGTGTGCGCGCGTGTCACACATGCTAAAGTGGCGTGCACTAGCCCAAATGGCTGTTTCCACATGTCTGATTCTCCCTTCTCTCTGTGGAGCTACCATAGGGTATACCTGCTGCTGGGGAAATCTTCGAGGGGGTTGGTTGTCCCAAAACCCTCCTCTGCAGCCCCACTTTCCGTTTCTGTCTCGTCTCTCGTGCTGGGGTCCTCCTGCTGCATCCACACGTCCCCTCCCCTTTTCTTCGGGCACAGCAGCTCTGTCCAGGCTCCTCATCCTGGGCTGCTTCTCGAAGTCGATTCCTCTGAACACTTGAGCACTCCGCTTCCCCTGAAGCGTTTAGTTAATCACAAGAGCCCTGTTGCTCTAGATATCTGGAGCAGAGTGGATAATGGAAGCATTGTTTTAAATGAAAGTGTAAGATTTTCACACATGCTTGATCTTGGGGGGGGGGAGGGACAAGGGGGAGGCTGGTAAAAGGGTTTTCTTCCTCCCCTTCCCCACCCATTCTCCCCTGTCTTTTTGTTTGTTTGTTTGTTTTTGTTTTTTAATCTTCCCTGCTCAGTTCTCCCCACCTTCTTTCTCCTTCTGCTTCTCTCTCATTTATTTCTCTCTGTCAACACCCATGCCGGTCTTGTCACTTCTCACTGTTTTAGACAGAAGAGGGAAAAAAGTAAGTTCTGCTTTTCAAAAAAGACCCAGAAACTTTCCAATGACAATGTCTTGACAAATACATTTTTGGGCATTGCTGTGTATCAGGGATGCAAAGATGTCTAGACCCTGATGGCTGCCATCAAGGGGCTCACGTCCTGGATGGGGAGGCCACCATGTACACTCACAGTGGGCGCTGGAGCAGATGTGAGGATGAGACTGCTGTGGTAGCTCCTCTGAAACTGTCTCTTGTTGTGCCTGGGAAACTGCGCTGCCAATAGCCTCCTCGTGACTGGCAGTGCTCTGCTCTTACCCCAGGATGCCCTTGAAGTCTCCTGGTCTCTCCATTGCTGTAGATTTGCAAAGGAGAAGTCAAGCAGGAAGAGAAACATCAGCTCAAGGTTTTGCCAATATTTCTCTCCCACTTTCATTAGATTTTAAGGAAACAAGAAAGAAGGGAAAAGACCCAAATTGAGCTAGCTGGATGGGTAGGCATTGTAAGTAAAAACAGCCATAGTTGCAACTTATTGAGCACCTACTATGTGCATAGCATTTGTCTGCATTTACTTTTCAGTACTGTCTGATACCAGAGCCGGTCCTCTGTCCATTACTCAATGCGGTCTTGGCAAATTGTTTACTTAAGAGAGGTAAACACATTTCAAAACATCAGGGTACCATTTAGTTTATTGCTTGCGTTTTGAGAGAGTTCATTTGTCTTCCACATTACCTTCCACCAACCCTGCACAAAAATGTTGAGTCAACCTTTATGAAGCCCTGCTCCCAACTGCAAAATCTCCAGTTAGATTCCTAGACTAAATAACCTCCCCAGGCCGGATCCCCGCTGCTTTCTTATTGCAAGATTTCTCATCACTGACTCAATCAATGTGTTTGTTTCTTCAATAGTATTAAAAAGAGTGCATGCCTTTGCTCTGGGGATCGAAATCTCTCTATTTAATTGCATGCAAACTGTCTTAATAAGAGAAAAAGAGAGGCAAGGCAAATGCCTTTCATCACTTAGCCACATAAAATCTGGGGAAATTACAGCTCTCACTTGATGTTTGTATAGAGGTCCCTGGTTTGAGATTTCCATATTCTTCATAGGCATTAGGGTAGACCCAAGGTGCATGGCATTCTGTGGGTGTGGTTGGGTTCTTTTTTGATAAGTCATTTACCTCTTCTTTACTAAGTGCTCCCATCCATAAGGTTAATGCTCCATCCCCAAGGTATTTAATTTATACTGGGAGTAGTTTATTCATGGGCAGGATCTGGTCCATTAATTCCTGTTTTACCAAATTAGAAAACAAATCCACAAGAGATTGAATGACTTTCTGAGGTCAGGGAGAAGAAAGGAGCTGAATCAGCACACACACTTCTTGCTGGTGGCTTGGCTGGGTGACTAGATGCCACCTTCTGCCCGCTGTGTCAGTTTGCTGAGGGCAACTGATTTGTTCTCTTGCCTTTAAGCAGGAAGAAATGCGCCACTCCTGAGCATCCAAGAGATAAGAAATGTCTTATTTCGAGACCTCTAAAAATAGGATTTGAGAGCCACCTTCAGTAAATACTATTCTTACACTAAGCATAATTTCCCCTCTCCCAAGCTCTAGAAGGATGACTTGGAATAGAACTTGATGCCTGTATATCTTTGTGACCTTGTGGTTTTATGGGGAGGATATGACTGGGTCCTAAGGGGCTACAGTTCAAAAATTTTTCACCCTCAGTTGAGCTAAAAACCACTTTTATTTAGTCCTACATGCCCTAAAGTGTAAAAACAGGTGCTCCATAAAAATGTATTATGTGGTCCAATTTGTTAGGATAACCACCAGCTAAAGTTAAACAGATTTCTCCACCTTCTTCTCAGAGCCTTCAATAGTCTTGTGGGCATCGTGACTCTCCAAAGAAGGGACAAGTAGACAAACTTATTTGATACCTTTCTCTCAAGGAACTCTATATGTCCACAAATACACTTTGGAAAACACTGCAGTAACTACAGATAAGACTTTACTCCAATCACAGCGCACAAAGCAGGCACAGCAGCTCCTTCAGCCAAAGCTCCTTACATATTTTAAGATACATGCTGTATTGCAGGGCAGTATTGAGAAAGACAAGGAAGGAGTGATACGAAATGGATGCATCTTGATGATTTTATTCCTTTCCATTTTAGGAGCAAGGAACTCAAAACATCATCCATGATTCCTCCTTTAATATATCTCTGTTTGAACCCAACTGTATCCCTAAACCAAAGCTCCTTCTGTCTAAGATCTGGATTCCCCTCAGTATTATTCTTGTGATACTAGTGATGCTAGGACTCTTGTCTTCCTTCCTGATGCAACTTAAAATCCTGGTGTCTGCATCCTTCTACCCCAGCGTGCACAGGGAGCGCATCCAACACCTACACATGAAGCTACTGAAGAAAAGATCAAAGCAGCCAATGGGAGAAGTAAAAAGGAAACGGGATCTGTACTTGACAAAGGTAAGACCAAGATGAGGGTACAATCTATAATTAAGGACATTTTGAGTTTGAAGGGCAAATGGCGTGTCAAAGCACTCTTCAGCCTCACATTATTAGAGTTATATCCTCAGCAATAGATGGGACACTGGGGTCAGGGGGCCCAGGGTGAGGGAAATTAACAGATGCACATGGCTAAGGCTCTTAGCTTTGTGATTTTGAATGCTGGTCTAGAGGATTCCCCAAGATGTCCTTCAAAAGATTGATTTCAAGTGAGTATATTCAGTTTTATCATAGAGAAGCTACTGAGAAGGCTCTCTGTAATGGCTATTAAAGGAAGGGATTAAGAAGTACTACTTGGTAGTTTCAAAATAGTCATGGGAATGCAAAGTAAAGCATAGGGAATATAGTCAATAATATTATAATAACTACGAGGTCAGACAACTAAATTCAAGAACCCATCCTAGAAAAAGTGCTACATACCTCATTGCTGAATATCACTATGGTCACCTACAAAGTACTCCCCTTAGGAAGCTATGCACCGACACCAGTGCCTAGTTCACTCTTCAAAGCAATTTTGGAACTCATTTTCTGGAATGGCCATCAGAGGTGTCGTTGTATTACCCTTGATGTCCT